ACACTACACGATTCATTTCGAAAATGCAAAAAAAAAAAATTCTGTACCTTTTAAGTAATTTTATGTAAAATTTAAGCATAGTATAAGTAACGTTTTTATCTTATAAACATTAGCACTTAATCTTTTAAACCAGTAATGTGAAGTAATCCAGTAAGTAGTAATCTATTAGGTAACCAGTAAGTAGTAATCTTTTAAACCAGTTAATACAATAAGTGTTAGTTTATTAGATACTGAACAAAACTGATATTATTAGGATAAATATAGCGCAATATATTTTATTAAATTATTTTTTATCAACCATAAATTAAAATTTGATGCGTAATTAAGTTGATTTCCAAATGAATCTTCGACAACGAAATTCTGTTCCCCTGAAATATTGATCTAGTATAAAATAAAATTATTTAGAGTTTCATTATTCAAAAATAAAAAAAAAATATTAAAAATGTTAAAAAAAAATTAGTGAGAAATATAAAACTGAAAAAAAATAGTTCTTTATTCGTAAAACAAAACTTAAAACCAGGAAATTTTAGGAAAAAACNATAGAAAGAGTCTATAAAAAAACACTTAAAATGTCCGTGAATAAAATCGCCGTCAAAAACAATTATAGTTCCTAGGACAAAAGTTACCTAAAACTTGTTTTTCAAAGCTTTTATCTCTTAGGGACGCAAACGATTTCCTAATTTGAGTTAAGGGTTTCGTGATGAAATTCAAATTTGTGGTTTCGTACATTTTAAAAAACTTGTATTGGTCATAACTTTTAATGGTGGAAGAGTTAACGATTCGTTTTGTTAAAGCAGCGTATGCTGTAAGAATTTTATGAAGTGAGCCTATGTTTTGGGGCAAAATTTCCTTCTTGATTAATTTTGCAAAATCTTGTTTTACCCATATTTTTTCTAGTTTCAATAATGAAACTATTTTGTTGAGCCAACAGATTTCTACAATTTTCGGCAAAATTTAACAGGTTTTTATGTAATAAATCAGCTAAAACTTGTTTCTGACATACTTTTTTTATTGATAGGTGGGCTTACCAAACTCTTTGCTAGGATAGCGAGTTCCTACAATGAGCCAATGTTGTACCCTTGCTGCCGGGCTGACCGTAGGATGTTTTCGTGGTTTTCTACTCCATATAACTCAAATGTGGGTCAGTTCCATTAAAAAGTCCTTCCCGAAGGTTAGTTTGCTGCAATGCTTGACCGCATATTGGAGCTGACATTGGCTACGGATTCAACGTTCAAGGAGGGCTGGAAAATAAAATGAGCTGATGTTTAAAGGTAAAATATTGTGCTTTATTTGTCAAAAGTTAGCTAAAACTTATTTTGGCACTTATCGCGGGCTAACGTCTGTAGGTTAAATGCAAATTTGTTGTATTTGGGTCATAAATTGTATATCTAGGGAAGGGAATTTCTTTCTCACTGCACCAATGTGATTTTCTTTGACAATTTTATTTTATAACCGTCGTTGAGCAGCAGACCCAATTTTGGATTAACAACTTCAAATGTTCAACTACGTAGCCTTGTAATTTTGAACCCCAACCAGAAGACACGTGATCAAGTATTTGGAGAAATTTACCTTTATGGAGACTTTTTTTACAGAACTATCATTTATTTGCATTAAACAGAGAGGAAAACCTTCCACGGTTAATCTGACGGCAAGGGGACTCTAACCCATGATCCGTCTACCATTGAGGATAATTTTTGCCAGGACTAGGGTCGATGCATGCCGGTCGCGGAATTCGAATCGACCAGTCATCGCAGGAATTCGAACCCGTTTCACCTCATTGGAACTCTCTATGCTCTGAGCCATCAGGGCATTCAAACTATGCCCTACATATTGCCTTTAAATATACCAATTGTGCAATTTCCTTTTAGTTTTTTTTTTACTAGTAACATGTTAAAACACGATATGAATAACTGGAGCTGCGATTAATAATTAAGCATAAAACTATACTTTGTAAGAGTAAAAGTTGGCAATGTGTAAAAGAGAAACAAAAATACTTAATAGCTCCGATCTTAGTAATTCGGATCTTAGGTTCAAAATAAATAATTGGTCATAATTTAATAGATTTTTCTAAAATCTTTTGTCTTCTCATCCAATGAATTATTTTTTCTCGACAAAGTCAACCAATCACTCATTTCCATGAATCGCTAACAGCAAAATCATTACAATTGTTGCATTAATGCTAATTTTCTGAATTTCATTTTAACCATTTTAGCATATTTTATTGAAAAGAAAAAGGTTCTTTTATGAACCAACTAGATGTTAACATTAACTGTTTCTGTTAGTAACTATTTGATTCTTGGTTCAAAATTCGAATTGTGTATTAATCACAATGTCGGAAGTTCGTAAATGTTGCTTACATTCCAGAGATGATATTTTCGAAACTGTTTCTCCTTTTACCCTAAAAAGCTGACAAATACCAAGGATTGTATGAAAAAGGTGCTAAATGATTTTTAAACTAATAGAAATTTTTATTATTAACTATATTTGTTTATTAGAAAGAAGGAAAACGAAACCTTGTTTTTTTTTGTTCTGCACTGTACAGGTTTCAAGTTGGGCAACCAGATGACCAAAATTTTAAACTTAATATTAAGTGAATAAGGTATCATTTCCAAGGTAAAAATTTTAAGAATTAGAAATAATGACTTAAACCTTAATATCAGTTTTCATTTAGTTTGACAACTAATTGAAGGGCAACATAATATGAAATTTTTAGCTGTGCTAAGTGAATTTCTAACAAAGTACAGTTTTTTTTTAGAAAAAAATTCACACTAATGTTGGAAAATGGAAGAAATAATAATTAAAGTGAACTGTAACAAAACAGGTTATTAACAGACACAAATGTGACATTTCACACTTTGATTTACAAAAAAAAAAATTCTCATACACTTATGTTTCTTGGTATCGCAAGTAAAATATCATAATTAATCATACTGTGCAACTAAGATTTAAAAAAATTTAATTATTTTTCTGTTTTTTTTTTCCTGTTTAAAGCAAGATTTTGATAATAATAAGTATTTTTATTGTAAATTAATAATTGGTTTTGCATCAGACACCACAGCTTTTCTTTTTATTACATTTGTTTTAATTTATTTCCATCTCTTATTTTGCTTTTTTTATGAAATGAAATATGAATGGAAACCATCTAAATATTCCCTTAGGTTAATTTCCAATAATGTATTTAACTTCAATAACCTAATAAAATTTGTTTAACTATGCTGTGTTTTAAGTTAATAATATAAATAACTTAAAATAAAAAAATATATATAAAAACTTCATTGATCAATTTTTAAGTTAATTTGCTTATTTATTCGTTACAAGTTACTCAGTTTTGCTTTTTTGAGAAACAATTTAACTTTATTTGGAACATTTTAAATCAATCATTTTACTTAGATCTTGAAAAATTTATGTATTTAGAGAAAAAAATTCAGAGCATCCTATAGTTATTTATTTTTTTGAGTAAAGAAAAAATATTCCTTTAAAAAAATTATGAACCTACTTTCATAGCAAACTTCAATAATATCTCGCATCCTATTCAATTATTAGGTGATTGGAATAAATATTTTTAGTAGTTATTGGGCCTGTAATTGGCAAATGAAACTGTAGAAGGGGTATTAAAAGAGAATAAAAATGAATTCTGGAATTCACATAAAATTTTATAGCCAGAAAAAATTGTTATAGACTAATAATACAGTAAAAGAATTTTTCCCCTTTTAATGTACAGTGACATCTTTTTCAATAGATTTTTTTTATTGTATATAAAAATAATGCAACTTCTTGTCATTTTTTCCCTATTTCTGTATTAAAAAAAAAAGAAGAAAAATTCAGCGACAGATTTTTATTCCAGAATTTTTTAAATTATTAAGTTTATGGACATATTGCTTAAATATGAGTTTTATTTACATTGTTGTTAATATACCTTGCGCAATTAAAATTAGTGATTTTTCAACTAACTTTTACAAGATGGAAAATGTATAATGCACATTGATTCTTTCATTCCAACAGGAAATAGAACACAATTTTAATTTTTTTGGGGTCACTGCATTTCCTATTTGGTACATTTTGTGCAAAAGCTACAAAACTAACAATTTAAAACATTTTTATTCGCTAAAAGTAATATATTCTACAAGCTAAACATATTATATTCTTCACATCTATTCAAGATGATATATTAAAAAAAATTACATTTTAAATAAAATGCTCTATAATATTGACACCTTTCTTGTACCCACCTGCACTTTATGAGAAAAGAAAACATGCTGACCTGGAAGTTTTAAGATTCTTACTGGAAAACCTGGAAAAATCAGGGAAATTTGAAACCTGATTTGAGTGGCCACCCTGTTTTTGGCACATTATCAAAAAGTTCAAGTTTTGTTTTTACTTATTTCAAAATAATTTAACAAAAAAAAAATTTTTTTTTAAAAAAATATATTTCGATAAATTTTATTCTGTGCACTATATGCCATAAACTGAATTGGTATTTTTAAAACATATTATTTTTTTAAAAACACAGTTCCGTCCTATTTTGTTAATTGCGTATGTTTTTTTTCCTTAACAGATTGATGCTATGAAAAAAACAGAAAGAGGAACGAGAAATGGAATCAGAGGTTTGTTGTTAAAAATTTAAATTGATTTTGTCAAATATTTAGTCTTTTAATTTGTTAAGATTAATTGAAAGATTTTATTTCAGTATATTGATACTAAATTTAGAGTACGCTATTGTTTGAACAATTAAATTTGTGCTAATTTAGATACAAGAAAAGGAACTGAATGAAAATTGGGTCGAATTGAATGAGTTAAAGAAAGAAGAGTCTCAGATGGAAAGCAAACTCAATTCAAGCAAAACTCAACTTGATGCATTGACTTCTTCTTTACAAAGTAGCACCCTTCAGATAAGTCAAGTAAATAATTTTATATTACTTAATATTGTTTATTAAATTTCAGCTTATTTTTTAAAACACTTGTAATAGTAAAAGACAAATAATCCACTTTAATGTGATAACAATAGTAAATTAAAAACAATGCATGAAAACAAAAATGCATCATTCTAGCTCAATCTAATATTTTCTCCGTTTCATTTTGCCTATTTGGTTCGAAGAATGAGTTTGAGGCACTGAAATTTATCCACTGTAAAAAACACAATAAATCCTTTATACTTGTCTCCACTTATTTGTTATTTATTTATTTTTTTAAAAAATAAATTTAAAGCTCCTTTTATAATTTGCTTTTTATGGAGAAGAAAAAGATGTAAACACAGCCTTATTTTATCCTTTTTCTATTTACTTTTTTTTTCAAAATAAATTTCAAGCTTATGTAAGCAATTTAATTTTTTGTATATTTGATAAACTAATAATTCACGAAAATTGTACTTATTATATATTCCTACGCTATGATTTTCAATTATATCCTCTACCGCATCATTCTGTTTTTGAAAATTGAGCTTTGAGCTACTTGTTGAAAAAACTTGGCAGCTTAAAATATTTACAACTTAATTCGTCTTAGTGGAGTTTTTGTTGAAAACAATTAAAGTTGCCTTGTTTGTGTATTTCTGTCCAGATTAAAATTAAAAATGATCAAATACAAGACCAAACACAATACAGCACAGGTTAATGAGTGAAGCTATCAAAGATATGGATAAGCAATTTAATTTTCGTCTGTCTGTTAAAGTGATAATTCACTAAAATTCTAATTATTATACTCCTTGGCTACACTTTTCAATTTTATCCTTTTGTTGCATTTGTAAGTTTTTTAAAATCAACTTCTTAATGATAAACTTGATATCTTAAAATACTTAATTTGAATGTAGATTGTTTTGTTGAAAACTTACTTAACTTTCCTTGTTTATTTTATTTTCTTCCAGAAAAAAATTAAAATTGACCAAATACAAGAGCAACATAGGTTAAATGAGTGAAGCTATCAAGGATATAGATAATGTGCTTTCTTTTGTTGATTTCCAAAATATATCAAACTTTACTATGTATGGTTTTTCTACACCTAATGATGACAGAGCCTATATTTCACTAACATGTAAGTGTGCATTTAGTTTTGATTAGATTATTTATCACTTAGAAAAATGCATTGTGTTTATCTTTCGTTCAGATCATAAAGGTCCATGTAAGTTTTAATTATTATAATTTGTTTACATATATAAAAGAAATTCTAATTTCAACTAATAAATACAATGCTTGCATTTCTGTTCTAATTTTAAACTGTATAATTTTTAGAAATAATTACCAAACATCTAAGTGATAAAGGCAATCCCTTTATTTTACAAGATAGCAAATTTCTGGTATGTTGGGAGTATATGTCGTTTACAGAAACTTAAGATAAAAGCTTTTAAAATTTAAAAAACATTAAAAAAAAAGACAAGTCTCCAAAATTTTTCATTCAAACCATCACTGCTAACTTATTGATTCCAACACATATGACGTCCTTGAATCTTAAGATTTTTAGCTTTATGGTACATTTAAAAATGTTTTTACATCATGTTTTATTTTTTGAAATACTCTTGAAAAAAATATTTTGATTTTTTATATTTTTCATATTTTTTTCTGGTCATAAGTATTGTTTTTTAAAAGAAAGCCTTAATATGCAAAATGTTATGAAAGAAAAAGAAAATTAATTGTATATAACATATTAAAATAGTTCTTGAAAAGGTTAATCCATACACAGTTATTCATATCTATCACATCGATTATAAATGCATCAATATTTCTCGCTCAATTAATGTCCATCTTCACTACTTGTGTATAAGTAGAGCCACTGATTTTTGTAAAATTTTAGCGGTTCAAAAATTTGATATATGGGTGATTCTCACGAAACATGACAATTCGGACCAAAAAATTTCTTCAAATTTAAAGTAATCTAAAAATTTTTTCGTATACTTCTTTAGCTACACTTATTAATATCTTATAGACATCAGTGTTGTTTATTGACATTTGCTCGAGAAAAAAAAATAAAATAGAAATTCACCAAATCTTGAATGCCAGGAAAATGACATATTACCTTAGAAGTTTAAAAAACAGTCATTTTACGTTAATAGTAAGTAACTCAACTTAATGTTAGATGGACCATAAATTGCTTAAATTAATTCTTTTTATCCACTGTAGAAAGAAACAAAAAGTTTTTTGTTGCTGATATGTACAGAACAAAATTGTGTATAATAATCATTTATTAAATAAATAAATAGCTTTGATTACATCCAAGCATATTACAGTCATTCATAAACTTGGTATTAGGTTAATATTTGCTTTCCCTCTTTACAGTCTTAGCAGTTAAAAAGAATTTCTGGTAACACTTCAATGTCCTGGTATTCAGAGGCCAGGAAAATGACATCCTGGATAATGACAAATTCGCCATTTTATAGCATGTAACTTTAGTTTAATTTAATATTTTGGCCGAAGACGTTTATATTCTGCAGAAAACAACAGTATTTCTTAAAATAACTCAGATGAATCATGTAGTTTTTGTTATTAATGATTTCAAGAAGCCAGGAAAATGACAGCATAAAAGCCTACTCATCTTGAAACAATTTTTGAAATAGATTTTGAGCCAGAAAATTGGTTCTTTATTCATGCAACAAGACATGTTCAGATAGGAGGGTATCTTATCAATCTATTAACATAAGATATCGATTCTTGGCGCTATCTGTTTTGGTCACTAAATAAAAGTAGCCAGGAAATTGACAGATTTTCATGGGATAAACAAATAATTGATAGAAAAAATTATTTTAAACGAAAAATTATTTTATAAAAAATTATTTTAAAATTATTATAGTAAACAATACCCTCTGCGTATATTCTATAAATGCTTACATAGGATAAGATAAAAAAAATTAGATTTTGAGAAATGTATGGGAAGTTTTGAAGCTAGTTATTATTGGAAATATTGTTTGGGACATGCCAGGAAAGTGACATTTTGATATTCATTTTAATTTTTTAAGTATACAAAATTAAAATGAATATATTAAGTATATTTTAAAATGCTAACAGCAATGCTATTTATTAATACTTTTTTTAAAAAAATTCTTTTATTATTATAGTATTAGATCTTGGAGCAAGGGACAGTGAATTGCCATGTTTCGTGAGAATCACCCATATACATTTTGATATATGGTATTTTAATTATTCTACTCTTGTGTTTCTTTAAAAGACAACACCTTAGAGCGTCCCTTTTTTTAATAAGTACTGATCTCATGACTTTGACCTAGTCATATTTAGTTAGTTTTGATGATTGTTACATTTGTGTTTGGTGCAGTATGACCAATTCTAATTCTTCTGCCATTAAGCTTTACATACATGGTAATCCTTAAAAAAAAAAGTTCGTATTATCACCTATATGGTCTTTTATTTTGTTTTAACAATTTTTTTTTAAATTTTTACTTTCTTTTTTACTAAATGCATTGTATCATATTTCATACATTCAATGGTTTGTGTTACTTCAACAATTAAAAAGGAAAATTTTCTTGCTGAGCATGATTAAAAATATACACTAAGTGCAAGGGCAGAAATTCTTTTATGCGTCTGGGCTTCTCAGCTTTATTCGAAGTTTAATCTTTTTTTTTCATATTCAAAAGGTAGTTTTCAAGTGCTTACTGTAATCAACTTTAAGAAAATAGTGAATGAACTATAAAGTATTCGATATAATCACTTTACTATTCCACAAATGTGCAAAAAGTGCCCGACTGCATCAGTGATGCATAAAAAATGTGTTTTGTTTCAAAAAATTAGTTTTCAGTTTATACATCATTTAATCCCTCTTCTAGAAACAAAAATGGTTGATATTTCTCAGAAAATATTTGCTTATACAATGACATTTTTAAAATTTTTATTATTATTGTTTCTTGTTATTGAATTGGCAGATGTTAAATTACTTAAATTATACAAGTCTAAATTTATTACTTTTAATTTTTTTTTCTTCATAAAATACATTAAATCGAATTTAAACTTTCCAAATTATCGAATTTATGCAACTTTATGGGAACTTAATTTGTTGGAAATTTGGATACTAATTTTTTTTATAGGTTTAATTTCTTTACACTATGAATATTAAAATCTATATGGTTTGTCTGAAAGTATTCGCAATTATTTTTATAGTAGTACTCTGATTCTATATCAGACTGTATCAAACTGCATTTGTGATTTAGTTAGCTAAATAATTTTTAAAAATGCATGAAATATTTTTAAGGTCCCAAAAACCTTTGATGAAGTTGAACCAGCTGTAACTGCACCTCTCAATGATTTTCAGGTAATCATATTTTCCCATTTATTTCTTTGAAGAGAAATTTTAAAATCTTTCTTATTATTCACAAAATATGCACCCCATTTGTGTTCTAAACATGTGGCCTCATGTTCTCTATGAGGCATTAAGAGAATTATGTCAATTCGAGCATACTTACAGAATTAATTATTGCTCAACATATGTGGAAATCAAATTGGAAAATTATTTTGAAGTACAGTCGGACCTCTATTTAAAGAAGTCGCTAAATCCCAGTAATAAATTCGTTATATGGAAAATTCGTTAAATAGAAAAATCACCTTTTGAAATACTTAACCGAAGCAAAACAGGTTTTAAATTCATAAACACTAGACATAATTAAAATAGCAATTGATACGCCTTTATCTTTCAAAGTAGCATTTGCTATTTGTTCTATAAATCTTAACCATAAAAGAAATCTGCATGGAAAGCAAGCATAGAGCAAAACATTAACCAGTATTACACTATCATATTACATGCATGTTAAACTAAAAAAAAGCTAAATTTATGCACAAAGCTATATCTGCATTTGTTATAATAGTAATTTTAAACATGCGTTACAACATGCGTTCTTAAGTTTAAATGTTACTGATAAAATCCGTTAATTTTGTCGGAGTTTTTCGTTTGAAATGCAAACAGAAAGGAATTTTACTGCTTTCTCTATAAAAGTTACATGGCTTCAAAAATCAATTTAAGGGTATTTCCCCTAAATGCGTTAACAAGTTTGAAATGCTCTGAAATATTTTGGGAAATGGAGAAAGTGAATCTGAAAGAAAAGTTCGTTAAATAGGAAATTCATTTTGCTATTTGGAATCTATTTTACGAAGAAATTTCTAAAATCTTCTTCATTCCTCGAAAAAATTCACAAAATAGAGAAATTCGCAAAAGGGAAGTTCGTAAAATGGAAGTCCGATTGTAATAATAATAGTTTTTCATGTATCTGCAAACACACGCAATTTTGTTTGGATTGTGCGCATTTTCATAGTTCATCAACTGTTGGAGTATTTTGTATTTAAATGTGTTTTTAGATTTAAGTAGTTTTTACCATGCTTTAACTCTCTGGTCATCGCAATCTGAAATGCAAATACCTCCCTAAAATATGCCCAAAAATTTGTTCCCAAACTTTCTTCCCCTCTTTCTCTGCACGTTATGATAGTCAACTCACCTTACCAATGCGCAGTGAGCCAGCATCCAAGGTTCCGTGGCCAAAATTAGTATTTCGATAAAATCTGTTTCTAAATTTGAGGTTTTTTATTTAGGGTTTTCATGTGCAGGTAAATTGAATTGATTGTTGAAAATTTGAAATACATTAAAAATACCCCCCCCCCAAAAAAAGATGGTGGCTGAAATATGGCGTGCAAAAAAAATATATATATATACATATATATATATATAGTACGTTTAAATGATTTAATATAGCAATGAAAATATAATAACTTTCGTAATTTTAGATTAAAAATGAAGAGCAAACTATATTTCCGAAGTAATATTACAAAATGACGCGAATTAATTACAAAATAACGCAAAAACATGAAAAAAAACATAATTTTTGTTTTTCGGTATATTTAGTTCACCTTTGCAATATGGACAAAATGGGGTAGGTTTTTTCGAAAGAAGAAGCATCAAAGAAGAAAGACAACAAAAAAGTGAAGCTAATTACCTCGTGGAATATTTTGAAGATAAGTTTCGAAAGTGATTTAAGCATTGTGAAATGTCAAATGATAAGGTATAAACTATAAGTTTGTCAAGAGTATTAACTAATCCAACAAATTTAAAAATTTTACTATAATTTCAGACTAATTACTCTGATAAAAATGTAACACAATGGTGAAATTCCTATATATATTTCTGAAATTGAAATTTAAAAGTTACATTAAAAAAAAATTTTTTTAGCATATTTTTCATTACATTGTACTCTTGTCGGTTCAAAAAGTAAATTATAATGTTTGGAATGATTATGAATACTTAATTTGGTCGATATTAAAGCTGTATTAACATATTTTAGTAGAAATTTAATTTTTGGGTCTTCTGGCCCACTGTGCAATGGTAAGTGCTAAGGAATTGAAACAGGAGACTTTTCAAGGACAAATGAAGGTTGTATTGAAAAAATCTTTGCCTTCTGTTTTTTTATTTATTTTTTTTATATCTCAATTTAGTTGTTGAGAATTGAAATCAGAATACTTATTAAAAATATACCTCAATTTTTTTTAAAAATAAAAAGTTTATATTTTTTTTTTATCTGGAGACAATTTTTTTTTCAATTTCATAATTAAAAAATTTAATTTCTTTTTAAAATAAAGAACCGATTTTATTCAAATTTTAAGTTACTTTATTGATTGTTTCCATAATGTGACATAATTATTTAATACTACTTAATATCATTTTCAAGATCTAAAATTTAAGTTTCGTTTTTCTAATTTTTTTCTTTGAATATGTGGAAACGCATTACATGAATCAAATTTTTACAGGCAAAAACTAAACTTATTTTAATTGTCTTCATAAATTGTTTATAGAATATATATTTGAAAATATTAAATTTTATATCCTTTTGAAGTGAAACACGATTTTAATATTATAGTGAGTGATAATGAGTTGTAAAGAAAAAAATCCTTGCTCACCAGGTTTTAATAATTTCCTTCTTTCTTTATATGTGTAATAAATTGTGATTTTATAGATTCTATTTTCCTTATCAATTCTAAAAATTTTATTATTTGGCACCTGAAGAAATTCTGAATCTAATACAGATTGCATAAAATGAATTTAAATTTTGTTCTTTTTCCTCAAACATTTAAAATATTTAACAGTACCGTCATACTTTGATAATTATAGATTATTTTCTCTCATAATTAATCTGAAATGCTTTATGAATCATGAAAAAAATAAAAACAGTAGAAAAAAGCACCTTAATTAGCAGTTATATAAATTCAGATTCAATTTTATATCGGCGGTTGAACCCAAATTTAATGAAGGTAATTAAATGTTTGTTGTTAACAATTATTCGAAGCAAATTATATATTTTTGAAAACTAATTAATATACAATGTTTAACTTGAAATTTTACTTAATATATTTTTAATTTTTTATTCAATTATATAATATATAGTAGTATTGTTATAATATAGCAACAAACAATAGTCTCTGATTGAAAATTATTATTTGCATATTATCACGCCTGAGTACCCCTCTACTTTCCCTCAGAGCGGTGAAACTCTGAACAAATTTATAACACGTTTTAATCATAATTCCACAAATTTTTGTAAAAAAAATTCTATGTTGAAAGCGCAAAATGTTCCCATTCCTGTTATACTCATACTTGTTTTTGAATTATAGATATTTTATCGTCATTTATTTTGTTTAAATGTTATATTGGAATCTTTCTAGGAGGATCCATTTAAAAGTAGTCATCCCATCGAAGGTAAAACAAATGGATTTGCAAATGATCCATTTTCTGGTGAAGATCCATTCAAATCTGGTAAGATGACGTAAATATTTAGATGAGTTTCCTAATTTCGTTATGCATTTTCATGGAATTAGTTAACTGAAAGTACCATTTTTGTTTCATTTATAAATTCATTATATATATATATATATATATATATATTAGCCAATCGTCAGAGTAAATATATGCATATCTAAAAAATATGGCATATTTGTAAATTTTAAAAAAAGTGTATGATTTTTTTTCCACCTTAAAATAACTTAACAATGAATGTGAACCAGCAGTATGTGAATAGGCTGTTCATAGCTATTGATATTAACAATTCTACTGCTGACATTTTTATTATGGCTTGGAGACAACACTATAATTGCAATATATATATTTTTAAAGACTTTTATTATGTTTTATTATTTTATATGAAAATTTTATTTTGTCTTAATATTGCTTTAGAGAATTTTATTTTAACTTATTATTAAATTTTTAATGATCCTTTGAATAAGTTCCTGTATTTATCTTAAAATTGCTGGTATCTAAACCACTCATTGATAATGGCAATTTTTATTTGATTCGCTTTTTTAGAGTTATATAGTTTTAGTGATAAATTATTTCCTTCTTAAGTTAAAAATGTTGCTCTTTGCTTTTAACTCTAATGATTTTGTTACACTCTTCAAATGACATTTTGTACTATAAATAGTTTTTGCATAATTAAGGTTTTAATTATTATTATGTAAAGTTTGCTTTTTATTTAATTTAATAAAACTGAATTTATGTATGATTCAGCTTTATAGGTTTCACTAAAAAAAATTTTTTAATGATAAAGTTTTGATTGATAATTAATGCTATTCAGGAACATATAGTGTCTAGAATTTTCTCTTATTTTATAGATCCTTTTGTTGATACTAATGTTGCAGCAGCTAGTGATCCTTTCAGGGGAGACCCTTTTGAAAGTGCTTTTAATGTAACTGCATCACAATGAAAAAAAAGTGAGAATTTTGATTTGAATATTTTGAACAATTTCTTTTATTTTGATTATTTCAAATTTTTAACAGGTATTAATAATTGGTTGTTATGAAATATATATATACATTATTATTTCTATCTCAGAGAGAATTTCTAACTGCCATTGATTTCCTGTAATTTCTGCGGGTTTTAGCTTTTGTTTCTGATTGCTGAAACTTTGACAAACACGATATTAATTAGTAAAATATTAATCATTTAACTAAAATTAATATTATTAAATGTTTTTTTTATCCTTATCGTTTTTCAAAAACAAGAGAACTTATAGAAAGCGAATTAAATGTTTTATTTTGATAATATTGCATATATTCGAAACTTTTAATACTATTGATCAAATGTGCAGTTCGATCAGAATTTACAAATTATTAAATACTATGAATGTTTCTTAGGGGGGTAAATTATGGAAAAATAGCTATTTGACTCTGCAAATGCATAGCTTCAGATATTATTCTTGAATTTTTTTTTTTTAATTTTTTTTATTGTCAAAGTTTTTTTATTGTAAGAATTAAATCAAAATTTACACTTTAAGGTTTTTGAATTCCTTTTTGTAAATTGGTTAAAAAATACATTTCTTATTAGTTTTAATTCAGTTTACATATACATTACATTCTATACATTCTATTTCACATATTTCTTTTGCTTAAAACTTATGATTCTTATAATATTAGAGCAAAAAGTTCCGTTATATACTGGTTTTAAAAATTAAGAAGAAATTTTAGATGTAATAGATTATATCCAGAACTACGGTATAGTCTTTAGGGAATTTACTATCAACATAATTAATGTAATACAAATTTAATGACCTTTCAATAAATATAATGCCTTTTGCATGATCAAGTGTATCTCTCCTGTGAGTTCAAAGGATGAAATAGATGATAAAAAAATGTAATAAAAAATAGGCTAATATTGTCCTGCATATGGAATAAACCTAGAATTTATTTTGCTCCAAAGCATTTATCCAGATATGGGAAAATTGAATTTCATCTATCTAGATATGAAGAAATTTACCTTTCATGCAATAGTTTTTTGAAAGGAGGGCCACGGGAATTGGACAGAGCCACAGTTATTTAAAGAAAAGTGAAAATGTTTTGAAGCAGTAAAAAATGTTAAAAGGAATCTGTCAAACCCATCAGTGGGGTAAAGTATTGGGCAGTTTTAAAGTTCTTGGGGCACTTGGTCATGATCATCTAGCAATATTGATTTCAGTCCCTTGAGGGTTTCTTTTTGGAGAGATATCGCACGCTTAAATTGCTCTCTAGAGTGTACCAAGCATGCTTTATAGAGATCAGATCCGGAGACCTGATTATCAAATCTACTCGACCAAAGGCCGCACTTTTTCAGAAAATTGTCTACCAGGTGAGCTCTGTGTTGTCATGTGTAACCTTAAAATGAAAATAGGGATAAACTCACCTCTGAAAAGGCAAAGAAAGAGTATCAAGGGCTCTTTCTTATACCTAGTCAAAGTGCTAGTTTGTAAAAGATAGAGGGGGTTTGCAGCTATTCAGCATACTGCTTACCACGAACACTAAACTTCCATAATTGTGAATTTCTTAATCATTACACTGATAACATTAGAGAATAGATAGTGGCGCCTCTGTTCAAAAGTGAAACTCTTTCATATGAAGAGAATCAGTGGTTTGCCAAAACTTCTCAAGTATCTGATAAACCAACCCTTATGTTATGTCATTACCATTCCATTCACAACCATTATGTGTTTGCCTTTTAATGGATACAGTTAACCCAAATTTGATTTAGATCCAGTTTTGATTTTGAACAGTCAACCTCAAAGAAGTCAGATAGACTGCGATTTTCTGAAAAGTGAAAATATAGACTTAATAGATTATCCAGCAAAAAAATAAGATCTCGACTCACTTGCCATGAGAATCCAAGCTATTTTAAGGTAGAGAGTGCATTTCTTGTTTTTTCAGTGGAGTCAGCTATGCCCAAGAGCAGCCATACACACGTCACAGTCCATTTTACTGGGAGGACCCATTCACACTCCATTCATTCCTCCACGCATCATAATTTTGACCTTAACCAGAGGAAGATCAATGTCCAATTCAGTACTCCCAGAGGTATTGATTTGTTATGGGAACTTGAAGGACTTTGTGACTCCAACAAATTTAAAGTGTCCTAGTCTCAATTTAATGCACGATGAAATATGTCTGAAATGCTCTGGGAAGAGCAATTAAAACTTGCAGGCACCCTCAGAACAACCATCTAGACCCTAATAATAGTGTTGAATAATTGAGGCCAATTTCTACTTAGCTGATTTATTTCCATCGTTTTTGTTTGAGAATTTATTGTATGTCAATGAGAAGGGGGATATAGTTTGGAACAATTTTTCATTTGTTCGATTCAGTAGCTCCTGTTTCATACCTGTTGAATGTTCATTATATATGTATTGTATCAACTTATGTGCATTCAAAGCATCTTTAAAGAGTGATCCATTCTCTGGAAGTGATTTGATACTGCTTCTACCCCCTGGTAAGTAGTTGTTGCATTCTGACGGATCTGAATCTACTTATTTATTTTTTGCTTTTCATTTTTGAAAACTTTAGCTATCCAAATTCTAACTCTAGGCAAAATTGAGTAAGCTCTTCCCTGCTACTAACTTGTTACCCACTAAATAACATTGAGATAAGTTAGTTTTTGTTGCATGGGCCGGAATAGCCTGGTTGGTAGGTTTATGGTTCATGCTCGTGAGTTCAAATCCTGCTGGCCAAAGAGTCCCCGTGTATTAAATTCTGACTAGGACACTTTAAATTTGTTGGGGTCACAAAGTCCTTCAAGTTCCCATAATAAATCAATACCTCTTAGAGTACTGAATTGGACATTGATCTTCCTCTGGTTAAGGTCAAAATTATGATGCGTGGAGGAATGAATGGAGTGTGACTGGGTCCTCCCTGTAAAACGGGCTGTGACGTGTGTATGGCTGCTCTTGGGCATAAATGGCGCCACTGATAAAACAAGAAATGCACTTTCTGCCTGAAAATAGCTTGGATTCTATTGGCAGGATTGCCGTTATTGGCAAATGACATTTGTTACAACAACAGTTTTTGTTGCAACAATGCAACCAGTTCAACCAACCTTTTAACCGATTTGCAAAGTTATGCAAATATTTCCCTTCCAAGAGCAAAAATTGATGTCAGCTAAAAGTTTAAACATAGAAAGAGCAAGAGCTATTACTTATCTGGTTAAAAATTATTTTATTCTAATTATTTTAATAAGTGTATTAATACTTATTTCTTGTTTTTAGAAATAGATCGTTTTGATCCGTTTGGTTTATCTCAAGCAAATTCTAATCAAGCTCCTTGTATGGTATGTATGCCTTTTTGGTTTTAATTTGTTTATGGCAGATTTTCAATTGTTCAATGATTTAATTTCACTGAATTTTCTGAAAATTTTCTTAATAGATAAGAGATAAATATTCAGATTATTGATGGGTAAAACTGTCTGCATTTATAAATTTTGGTTGTTGTTTAATGTTTGCAACTTTATCTATTTTTAAAAAATTAACTTTATAAAAGCAGGCTGGCCACCCACCTTGAAAACTTGGAATTATCAGGGATTTTTGTATACTGGAAAAAACCTGGATAAATCAGGAAATTTTTAAGAAAAGCTAGAATTTTTTCTTAATTTAAATTATTTTACCATTCGCTATATCCACTTTATTCAGATGGAAATTTATCGTCAAACAGCTGAAATATCATCAATTTTGCAATACTTCATTAAAATTCTCTCCATTATTACCCAGCTAAACTAGAATGCCATATAAAACTCTCCCATGTTGCTAAATGAATGGAGAAATCTTTGACCTCTTTGGAGATGAGACTAAGCAGTTAAGGAAAGTCAAAAATTGTGGGGGAGGTGGAAGAAGGGGTTAGTATATTTGCTTCTGTTCATAAAAGGAGGGTTTTTCTGTTTTTTATCTTCTTGTCTGTGGGCTAAATTCATTTACTGTTCAAATTTGTTCCGATGCTTTGGGTGTATTTTTTTTCTTTTAACAAAATGTTTCAGTATTTTTAACTTTATTAAATTCTTCGAAAAGTAATTGGTTATAATTTAATAATAGATTTTATCTTACACTCTTTTTCTGAAAGCTTTTGTACTTCCATCCAATGAATTATTTTTTTCTCAGCAAAGGCTTTGAAACATGAAATAAAATAGATTGTAAGAGCTGTACAAAATTATTATTTAATTTTATGCTGGCAATAAATAAAGCTATTAAATTATTATTTTTCCTACTCAGTCTTTTTTCCTAGAAAAAATTGTTATAGGCTAATAATACAGTAAAAAATAGTTTTTATTTCCTTTTAATGTACAGTGACATTTTTTTCAATAGATTTATTTTAATTTTATATAAAAATAATGAAACTTTCGGTATTCTTTTCCATATTATTAAAGAAAAATAGCAACAGCTTTTTTTCCAAGATTTTTGAAGCTATTTAATTTAGGAAATATTGCTTATATGTGATTTTTATTTACATTGTTGTTAGGATATGTTACACAGTTAATATTTAAATGGTTGGTTTTTCAACTGACTTTTACAAGATGGAAAATGCTACTAAAACACATTGATCCATTCATTCCAGCAGGAAATATTAAACATTTTAAATTTAACGAAGTTATTTAATTGAAAAATAATGTTTATAGTATTAAGATTAAAATTAAAATTTTCAGTCTTTATAGTGATTATCATTAACTAAAATTTATATCCATCTTCAAAAATTTATGTCTGACACTGAGGTAAAAAAATTTCAAATTAATTATATATCATATTTTACAAGTTAAGAACTGCATAGAATTTCTTATTCAAGTGTCAGCTTCAAAATTCAGTCAAATTTACATTTAAATTGTAAACAAATTCGCAGAGTTCAGACAATTGACAATCAATTAAATGAGTGATCGTTTTTTGCTTTTGTGCGATTTACATCAGACACCCACAATTAAATCCATT